AGGTGTCTCAGTCTGTCTTCATAAGATAAGCCAGATAGACCTTGTACCATCTTAGCAGCTCGTCGTTAGACTCTTTCTAGCATATCTGCTTCATACTTGAAACAAGGATACGTTGCTTGAATACAGTATTCTAAATGTGGTCGCAAATAAATCATAATCATAAGTTAAAACAAAGGGAAAAAAGATAACTTGTTGAAATAATGAGATGACAAAGCGTTGTATGATTCTGGGGAAATTTTGGGGTTTTTGTGTCATTTCCCTAAAGTTTACTATGGAGGCTTCCTCAAAATTGGGAGATTGGGGAGGCTTTTATTACAATGGGTTACACGTTCATCATATTTGTCAGGTATGGAAAAGGGACAAACTTCAAGGTGATGAGTTTTGTCAGGAAGTGAGTAAGAATTTTTCGGTAAAACTGTAACTTTTAGACAAGCCAGTCGGATTTAGGGTGATAGATTTTGGATTTTGGGGCGAAATTCACTCATCCATTTGGCTAAATAGAGCTTTAGCAGTTTGGATGACGCAAGTTCGTGATGAAAACCCGTAGTCTAACTCCTAATTCTAACCACCAATCGTAAATGATTATCTTTATTACTCTTAATTTATTACTTATTTATTTATTTGAACATATAAATATTGGTACAAGGGGGCACCAGATATATATGCGCCACACAGAACAATGAGACTTCGAAGTGGAAAAGAATGTAAGGTGCGCATAAGAAAAAACAATAGTGATCACAGATTTGTGTATGGTAAATAATGCACGACATGGAGTTCTCTGGGACGACATTCAAAGAAAATGTTCGAGCCGTCGAAGTCGGTGTTTCAAGATGTTGACACCAATTAGATTATCGTCTCTGTTCCTGAACACACGGTGCCGAACCTCTGCATTACTAACATGATATTGAGTGAAAAAGTATTGTACTGGTGTTTAGTTCATTTTTATTGACCCAACCAAGCTTGAAACCAGTTTGTAAATAGTTATGTACATATGTACATATTTGCGTAATAGCTTTAGCTGTTACTCTGTCTAATATCATTGGCAGATTGGCCTAATAAATAGTTTATATGAATAACTTTTGTGAGAGCACACTTTTGTTCATGTTGTGGAATATCAAGTCGCGAAATACTCATCTAATATTTGGATAGATACATTAGATTACTAACCTGTCGAAAAGCTCGCGCTTATAAATGGTTATTCCAGTTGTGAGATGTTGGTTTCTCAAATTCTCCACTTTCAGCTTTTCAGAAAGTCCCCTCGGCTCTTCCAACTTGTGGTACCTGTGTCATAAGTGGAATTTTCGATCTTCTAACTTCACACTAGTTTGATTTGTCCCACTTTATGGTTGTGAAATGATTTTTAAACATAGGTATTTGTAGATTATTACCACCCAGTCACAAGTATCTTCAAAGTATTGCTCACGTATGTTGGGAGTACCGAATGAGCAATGCAAAGGATAGACTCAAGATATTGGATAAAGATGACAAGTCGATATGTAAATTGGTAAGTCTTCAGTAAATTAGGTGATGAGAACGCGAATTACGTTTCCTTTCAGCGAACCACCACCCCTATCTAATCCCATCAGAGCTTTCTTCAATGACAAAGTTAAATGGGAATAACGAGATTAACCGAACCTACCTAAGTCGCTTCTGGAATGGAATAATGTAAAACTGTGGTTTTGTGCACTTACTTTCTGAGATGTTTGTGTAGTGAACCTTCAAGATGTTAATAAATTTCTCAGACACACCCTGCTTGAGCAGATAATCCCAGGTGATAGGCCTCAATGAGACGAAGGTGGTCATGATATGAGGAAGCACGACTGTTGGGATGCGATAAGGGTGACGGTGATTTAATGTCGAATTCCCAGTAAGCTTCATAAGGCCGACGTGTCTCAACGATTTGCGAGGTATCTGTAGAAACCTAGTATTTATAAACCAAACATCTCACCAAATAGCAAGCGAGTTCACTCGTCATTTCCGTCGATTTATGCAAATGAGGCCAGTGCTCATCTATGCATTTCGGCAGGTTAACCGCTAGTGTTTTACATATCTCGGTTTGATACTTGGTTGCAACGACAGCCACAGCCAATTTACTTTCGTTAATCCTCTCAGAGCGACAAATTTATTGGTCACTGAAAGGTAAGGTGAGATTGATTCAAAGCAGGGTGTGATCAGAGTCCGGATAAGTACTTCAACAAGTGCGGAATTATTGTGCTCAGCCACGCTAACAGTAGGTAATTGCGAAATGATCAGTTTGAGTGTATGGCGAGTTTGAAGAGGCGATGTGCCAGCGAATCTGCAATGACTGTGCCAAACGTTTGTGCATGTCAGAAGCTGCAGGTGACGTTCATCATTATCTGACATGTGACTACTGAGTGCTCATTCGACTGCCAAGCGACTTTCCTCTGTGCATGGACTTTCGACTTTCACATCCAGATGTCCGGCTAGCAATACATTATCTGTGGCGTGCGCTTTTAGGGGAAGATCATTCAACTAGTTATGGAATCCACCTGTGATTCCTTTCGAACTATAATCTGTCAAGGTGTAGACAATAACGAAAAGACATCGTTTCCAGCACCGACTTTTACTCACTGTATGCTTTCTAGTTTGAAAGCACAAACGGCCACTAGTGGGGATTTGTTTGATTATTGCCACCTTTGCTCCAGTACTTAGTGTGACATCACTGCCGGCCAAATCAGATAATGATACCACAGAGACCCCGTATAAGCAATGTGAAGCAAACTGTCCAGATCGGCAGGTGGATAACTAATTTGTAGTAATTCACCAGAATGTTGTATACAGATCTCTGATCCACTGCAAACATCAACGTTAGCAGTTTCAAGGTGCATGGCCAGACTTATCTGTTGTCCAATCTGCTTCAACATACGAACGTTGGAGAAGGTCAGCACATGAATTTTCGGAAAAAACTGATCTGGGTTTCGAATTCGATGGTAGCATTCAAGGTTTCGACCACTTAAGGACTTGATGTCGCTTAGACAGGACAAAGCTTTCGACGTAGATGAGCTACTGAGGACGTTGGGAGATAGAGATAAATACAGAATCGAATGGGAGTTTGATGTTTAACAAAATTGACACATTTTTACCAGAATCATTGTATCTGTTGTAAGAGAAGTTTAGCGAAGCGAAAATAGCAGTTTCTTCATAGTTATACACTATCATGTTTGTCAGAAGACTGACATACATTCTGAGTGCGCAGAATGAAGCACGTGGTTACCTTAAGGACCCTTTGATCCAGAGGTCTTATCCATAAGCCAATAGGGTTTCTTCAGGTAATCCAGTCCAGTCGTCCCCGATGACTAAACACAGGCTCGCACTCCATATACCTCCTCTAGATTCTGGCCCCTATTTGCACCATTGAATTGGAATCACGGTTCTCTTACTCCTCAAGGTAAACAGTCGTTTTCTACAAATTTTGTATAAGCGCTGGGCATCCACACTCCATTCTCCAATTTTTCTAAACAACACTTCTGGAAGACAGTGAGTAGAACTTCTCAGACTGTGTTTGTAAATGAGTCAACGCGTGAGGGGATTTTCAGAGGGAGAGTGAACTCAGCCTGTATGGGAGCATTTGAAGATATTGTTTATGATTTCCAATGTCGACTCAAAATGAAAGAGTTTCTTGTGCGCATTCAGACCGAGGTACGTGCAATTTGCTTGAATGGTACAGGTTTATTTATGTAGCCTTGAATCACACTGATTGTGTGCGGTTCGATTAATCACATGAATTTAAGGTTGGAGCGCCAAAACGCCGTCTGCTCCATTTTTTGTGTTGGAGCAGTATTCCGGACCACATGCGAAACTCAATACTAATCAAGAGCATGAAGGACATGATTCACTTACACGCTAACGTTCTTAAGCCATAAACATTATAAGCAAAGCTATTCTATGTCACCCAACTATCGATGGTTTGGTTTCGTAAAAGACGCTTTTCTTTTGAAGAACTTAGTTGAATTGTGACTATGCTAATAGTATGCTGATATTTCGTAGCAAAAAAGTGGCGTGGGGATAGGTCTTATACTAGCTACTAGTCCATAGAAAAGTGTAGATAAGCAGCAGATGCGCTTGGCTGACGACATTAAAATGACAAATGAAGTCGATCGCATTCTCGCGAAATGTCCCGTAAAATTAGTAGCATCGTGTGACTGGGTGGAAAAAGAGAAGTGGTCGACTTATGATAGGACACCGTGTTACAGAATATTGTTTATTATTTTAACATATAAATATTGGTACAAGGAGGCACCAAATAGATATGCGCCACACAAATCTCATTCGATATGTGTGAGGACTATGTTACTGCCCGGGTGCCCAAACCGAAGCAGGTGGTTTCCTTGGGGGGCCACTCCACGAGCCTTCGACCTGAAGGTCTGATCCACAAGGCAGTGGAGCATCGTCAGGAGATGCAGTCCCATGGAAGCCGGTGACCAATGACTGGTTCATACGCCATTTGTTCCTGCAGGATACTGGAGCCCATGTGCACCATTGGTTTGGAATCCGGTTGAAGCGCCGGACATTCACTTTTCGTCCTCTCATTTTCGTAAACAACACCACCGCCAATAGAGGGCAGTGAATACGACTTCCCTGGCAGAGGTTAGGGTACTTATAATTCGGAGGTCGAGAGTTACAGAATATAACTGTATAGAACTGATATCTGTTATCCGGTCACTCCTCTCCGATGCAGGTCGATTTTACGTTTTATGATTCTTCAGCTACTGCAGATAAGAACATCTAAATAATTAAACTTCTAATCGACTTAAACTTAGGTAATACTCGTAGTTCTTGCATTTTGCTCCGCATACGGGTTTATTCCAGTTGGCCTCAGTATCATCTCCTGTGGGTTTTAGCAAAATATTCAGTGATGTCACTAGTTATTTGCTAATAAGTACATATAGTTACAAATATCCAACGTTTCCAGCACGTCATAAAATCAGAACTCTTTGAGACAAAGTTAAAAATAATTCATTTCTCATGATTAATACTGCCGTTTTTGGATTGATCATAATCTAGATAGATAGGTGGGTTAAATTAAAGAAATTTAAAGAGAAAACCCAGTTGTAATCGCTTTCATCTGTCTATTTTGTGTTCCGTTTATCTGTTTACGTCAGGTATTTCTGAAGAGACCATAGAATTTCACTTTCTAGGTCTTTGAATTGCCTTAATAATTGCTTCATCCACTGGTTTTCGACTTGTTGGCGATGTATTAGCTTTATTGATGTTTACAGGGGATAGACTTTCTTCATTCAATAATAACTGTATATCATCATTGCCATTAGTGTGTTTGTTTATCCAACTATCATTATTTAAAGGTTTGGTTTTCTCTTGCTCTAACCGGTCAATTTTTATTTTTTGTTCAGCAATCTGAAATCGAGTATTTGTATAAAGAAATAAATGAATTCAGTCTTAACACCGTTTAATGCGCTTGTTATATGTTAAAATGGTTGTTGTTTAAACTGCGTGTGTGGGGCTCAATGTCTATATGGTGAAATTTATTACACATACTAATTGCAGTCAAATAGAATTGAAAGAACTGTACAACACTATGAGGTAACATGTCATGATTTAATTTGAATTCTAAATACTACAGTTTCCTATATTTCTAGTTAATATAACATCTACTAGATAAAGATGATTGTTGTTACGATATTGTCTTGTGATTATTGTACCTATTCAGCCCATATGATAGTCGACGTGGTATGTATGGTTGATACTAACCCTACCTATTCACCTTCGATCTTACGTTTGAGAATTCGATGCAGTGTTAAGGCAAGGATTGGTAATGTTAAGGTGGCATTTCCACAGTTTAAGAACATATGGAACTCAAAACAACTGTCAACCAATATAAAGCTAGAATCATCAATATGAACATCAAGACAGTTCTACTGTATGGAGCTGAAACATGGAGAACCACTACAGTAATCATCAAACATGTACAAGTATTTATAAACAATCGTCTACGTAAGATACGCACTGTCTTTTGACCGTACACCATCAGCAACAGTGTACTGTAGGAGAGAATAAACCAGCTTCTATCTAAAGAGAAGACTAAGAAAAGAAGTTCGAAGTGGATAAGACACACATTGAGGAAATCACGAAACTGAATCACGAGGCAATCGCTAACTTGTAATCCTGAAGGGAAAAGGAAAAGAGGAAGACCAATGAACACACTGCATCGAGAATCAGAAGTAGACATTAAAAGGATGACTAGCAACTGGAAAGGATTTTGCAGGACAGATTTTGATGGGGAATGCTGGTGAGCGGCCTGTGCTCCTTCACGAGGGGTATCAGGCGCAAGTACATAAGTTCATAGCTGTAAATGGCTTGCTAAAATATTACAATGACGTTATATCAAATAGATAAGGATGAGGTATAAACTATCTGATAGATTCTAAGTCATCTTTTTGATTTCTAGGAATGTGTCTGTTTTACATATATGAGACATACCTCTTCATTAATCTTCTTCACATTTTCAATAAATAGTTGACGTTCCTTCTTCAAAGCTTCAAACTGTTGAGTTAAATCTGGTTGGATTTGTTTTCCTGATAACAAGCTATCAGACGTTTTTTCTCGATAAGCAAGCTGATTCAATTAGCATAAAAAGTACTTATTAAATGATCACGTATAAAAACTACCAAGAAATACTAATGTAAATTGTAGTTATGTGCTTCAAAAATACTGTATGCTGTAGGGGATAAACTTCAGAAATCCAACATTTTGCATTGTAATAATTTTGTTCAGACAATTTTGAATCACATTTTCCACGATGTAGTTAAGGAAATGAAATAATAAACAACACTCACTTTCACCATGATGTTGGTGGAACATTATTACATTTTGGAGAAATGTGTGTTATTATTGGTCTGTAAGATGAGTCTTACCTAAATCATTCATACTGATGGGGCAATATTCATTTTTATCAACTTTTAGACATTCATGTTTAAAATCTTGAGACTCCACAAATATGTGACAATGTTTTATCTGGTCTGGGTGATTCCACACTAATTGTGATTAAAAGGTGTCTATAATTCATAACTTTAAATGAGTTACAAAGTTCTCCTCAAACCTCAGTCAACTTCATTTATAGCGCTAGGCCAAATGATGTATACTATTTAAAGACCATGGGGATACATTTATGATATACTACTTCTTATTATTCATCATCTGTCAATTTCGCGCATCAGATAGGATTTCAATGCACTTATTTTAGAATAATCTAATACAGCATAAAATAAGCTTATTAGTATTGCCAAGTATTAGAGAAATTTGTTGCGTCTTTAGTATGAATATGGGCCAAGATCGTTCAACAATGGGGTTTAATGCAACAAACTACGTTAATGTTGTTGGTAGATGAATAATTAAACTGGTCCTCAAACAAAAGATACGGATGTTAGACCGACTAATGAACTTAAAGTTTTGAAGTATTTTATTCTTAGGCCATTAAACCTGGATAATTGTCTCTTTTTATTATTCTTGCCTACTCTAGTTGCTTCTGCATATAAAGACAGCACTTCAACCGTAATAACCCTCCCAAAATCCTAATCTTATAGAAAAAAAGGGTTTTACTTGATAAAAAGAGCCTTTCTATACCCATGCGAAGTCAGACACCTTATACAACTATGATCTTCGGAGCATCCAAAATTATCAGAGACCTCTTTTGATTCAGAGTTAAGTGCTTTCACAGTGGGCACCTACAACCATTTTGTGGAATCAAAGACAAGATGTTCAAGTCAATCTGTGGCAAAAATCAAATACAAAGGAGAATCCTCTCCAATAAACTTTAAAAAAGTCTTGTGCTCGCTAGTGGCCTGTTTGTAGATGAGTATCGGTGAATCCCAGTTTCGTCAAACTCAAAACAGTCATCCCAAATGAAATTAATTGATCGTCGTACTCTATCGCAAATTGATTAAAGTTAGAAATGTAAACCTTAGTATCGTGATTCAGTAATTTGACGGTTATATGCTCGCCGCATGATCTGAAGATTTTGGGTTTATTACTTGATGGAATTACGAAAGATAACTGATGATTTGTAATAGTTACTGTATCAATGAAACATAACCTCCTTTTTACATACCTCTTGTTGAAGCTTTTCGTTCTCTCTAGATTTCAGCAATACATCTTGACGAAGCATTGCATTCATATGCATTAATTCATTTTCTCGTTGTTTTAATCGGTTCAATTCGGCGATATCTTCTGTTTGTTTAAATTGACTTCGTTCAAATAAGGACTGAGACTGAGCGGAAGATAAAAACATTGAGTGAATTACTATTATTTTAGTGGTCTTTAGGTACACATATTTTGAGCTGAGCTTACTTACTTACGTCTGTTACTCCCAATGGAGTATTGGCCGCCGAACAGCATTCTCCAACCAATTCTGTCCTGGTAGTTCTTTCTAGTTCTATCCAATTGTTGTTCATTCTTACCATGTCTGTCTCCATTTTCCGACGAAACAGGTTCTTTTGTTTGCCTCCCCTCTTTTGACCTTTAGGATTGCAAACGAGGGCTTGCCTTGTGACGCAGTTGGGTGCCTTTCTCAATTTGTGTCCTACCCACTTTCAGCGCTAGACTGCTACACTGGTTGTCTTCTCCTGCATTTGTTGTTGTGTGTGAGATAGAAGAGCCAGATCGTCTGCGAGGTCTAGATCGTCCAGTTACATCCTAGCTGTCCACTGTATCTCATGCTTCATCTCAGATGTTGACGTCTTCATGATACAGTCAATCATCAGGAAAAAGATAAAGGGTGAGAGTAAGCAATCTTGCCTGACACCGGTCTTTACTTCGAATGAGTCTGTGAGCTGTTCTCTATGCACGATTTTGTAGTTTAATCCATCATAGGAATTTCGTATGATATTAACTATCTTCTGAGGCACGCCAAACTGTCGAAGAAGCTTCCACAGTGTTGTCCTGTCCACGCTATCAAATTCTCTCTTGTAGTCAATAAAGTTGATGTAAAGTGATAAACCCCGTTCAATTGATTGTTCCGCCATGATCCGTAGTGTTGAGACTTGGTCATTGCATGATCGATTCTTACGGAATCCAGCCTGTCGGTCTCGAGGTCGAGCGTTTACGGAGCCCTTCATTCTGTTCAACAACACCCTGTCGAAGATGTTTCCTGGTATTGAGATAAGAGTGAAGCCTCGGTAGTTCTCAAACTTGCTGAGATAGCTTCTGTCTGGCATTTTTATCAGATGTTCTTCTTTTCAATCTGTTGATACTTGTTCTTCATCCCAAATTTCGCCGGAGAGAATTTTGAAAAACTTTGCAGTAACTCCTACATCTGCTTTCAGTACCTCTGTTGAAATGTCTGCCCGCGCTTCTTTGCCGCTCTTGATTTGTCTCAGTGAACTGAACTATCTTCTTAAATATATTTTTTTATTTTGTTACTTCTCTTTTTTTGTGCTTTCACAGAACTTGAACTGATCAGTCATTTAGTCATGAACAAAATAAGGGTTGGCATAAATGTTCAAGTGTTAACTCGCCGGATTAGTACATCGACAAGAAATTGACAAGACAAAGAGCAAAATATTTTCAACAATAAAAGTATCAATGACAAAAAAATCTAAAAAATAAGGTAAATAGTTCAAACAGAATAAATGGAAGATATCGAATAACATCGGGATTCAAAATCTAAAGGAAGTTAAGGAATAGATACATTTCATCCATTGTAACCAGTCTCAAGCCGTATCATCTGTTCCTTAGCCATAGACTTCGATTATCATCCAACTACCTTGGATTTTTACCGTCTAATTATTTTTAAATTTTCATTAAATGCCATGTCAATAGCTCTTTGTATTCATTTTCTTTTATCATGAAGATGCTACATAGTCCAACCATCGCCTCTACCACCTCGGGATTTGAAACGAAAATTGTATCTGTGTGCTAATGTGGTATGGCAACTCGAACTGATATACGCACGTACGAAGTTCTACGTTATTACTGACTGACTGACCGACCATCAGTCTATCAAACTTAATGAACCTTGTACTTTTGATATATAATAAGCTTTTTAAATAAAATGTCAACATCAGCATAGTAAGTGATTAAAGCATTTGACCTTCAACGACTAGGTTCCAGTTTTGAACTTCATTCTCCCACATAAGTGTATCTGTCTTGATTTAAACAAATAAAAGTTATCACTGAATAATACTGATAGTGTGGTTTGAAGGTGATTCGGAAAATATATACTTTAAGAAAACCACCTGTTTCGGTTTGGACGCTCAGACAGTATTCCAGCCCTCACACAAATGGAATGATTTATATGGCGCATATGTATTTGTGCCTTCTTGTACCAATGTTTATGTGTCTAAATAATAATAATAATAATACTGAATATACTTAGTATATAAACGAGGAACTTCAGCCTAAATCGAAGTTCAAAACTCAACAAGCTAGTGTTTGTAGGTAAAGTTATCAATCAAAAACGCTGTAGGAAAAAATATACAAAAGACATCAACTGAGTAAGGTGGTCCATTAGTAAGTATTGGTAAAGTTTTACATTCCTCTTCTTTCCCTTCAAGGACTTTCGATCGCATGATATGATTGGTTAACACATGTACCAAGTACAAATTTATATGCTGAACTTTGAGGTACATATTGTGTGTAATGGCTTGCAGCACTACCCGGCTGCCTAAATCAAAGTAGGAAGAGCTTGATTCGAACCTGTAGCATACCAGTTGGAAGTTAAGTGTTTCAATTACTTATTCACCTCCACTGTATTTCATATGGGTCTTAGGTGAACACTGATTTCTCTCTATTAATACTAACTTGTTTATTATGATCCACAAGTTTATAAGTTAAAGTTTGTCACTTTGTTTAGTGTTTCGCTTAACTTCTAACCAATTATAGCTTTAATGTGAAGCCATCAAAAATAAGTAATGAATTTAATCGGTTTACTTTAATCTTCCCATTAATGTGTAGGACTTCAAGTTATCAGTCTCTTATTAGCATATATGCATTTTGTGTGTAATGCCTTAATTCACAAGCATTCAAAGCAAAGATGATGTTTGAAGTGAACGGAAATGGGTTCGAGTCCAAGAGTGAATATCAACTCTGAGATGCATGTGCATACAGCTGATGAGTCCCAAAGAAGAAGAAATGTGCGTCCTGGATTCCACTGCGATTTCACTGAGTTCAATCAAATTTTTTATATAATCTTTCAAAGGTTCTAGTAAGACTCTATTACCTACTAAATTGATGGAGTACTATTTAGTGATTATCAATTAAATTATCATTTATAAATGAATATAACATACTTCTTCGGCTAGTTTTCTTAACTTTTCCAATTCATTACTTAAATGTAGATTTTCTTTTAAAAGTACATCATTTTTATCAGTTTGTTTATCCTTTATATACCGATCATTTTCTGATCTCAGGAAGGCATCACTTAATTTTTGTTCAAGATGACGTATTTTATCCTACATAGGAAATCAGAAAGGAAAAGCAATACAAATAAATTTTACTACTTAGTCAGTATTTAAGTAGCACACAATTAATGTTATACTATGTCTATTAAATGTATACATTGGGACCACCGTGTAAGTAATGCAGTTGTTATGAAACGGGTACTAGGTAAGGATGACAAATCAATTAGTGAACTAGTGAAACGTCTTCAGTTGAGATGGCTGATACATGCTCAACCACTGATGGCCCCAATGAGCGATGTTTTATGGTGAAGGTGTAGGTTGGGAGAAAGCTAGGGGTGGTCAGACCAAAACATGGTACAAATCCATGAAGTCACTGACAAGTGGATTGAGTGAGTCATATTGGTAGGTGTAGACTGCCTGGTTGAGAACCATGAGACGATAGCAACCGATAGTTAGAGACTTGAATGACATGGCTCAAAATCGTTTACAATAACACAGGTGCAACCACGATTTGTGTTCTCCTAAAATTTAATCTTCTGAATTCTTCATGTCCCTTTCTTTTTTCTCTTTACAAATTTATTTCACTGTATTATACTGTGGTGTTTGAACGAACTAATAATACCTATGTACTTGTTGAATGCTCGATTTCGAATTCCAAATACAATACATTCGCTTGAGTCTTACTTCTTAATTCAATTGCGTTAATTCTGGGACTCTTAGTTCGTGCTATAATTCAAATAATCCAAAACATATTGGCGTCGCGATGGAGCCTGTAATGGAAAAGTTAGATATTCATTCAACTTCGGAAGCTTTTGAAGATTACATTGAAAGGTTCGAAATCTGGGCTATGACCGAGGAAGATGATGAGGATGTTAATATTGTGGCAAACTTCCTCACATTCATTGGGAGAGAAGCATACAGCTTATTAAGAATTCTGTTTATGTCGGAAAAGCCTATCTCGCTTCCTTATACAACTCTCAAGGAACTCCTGCTAGACTATGTTAATTATACAAATTTCGAATGCGGTAAAGGAGGAAGATCTCGTAAAATGATTAATAAGGATATAAAAAACACCACTACATTACTACGTCATCCTGACCCAGCGCATACTCAAGGTTATGCAGACAATTCATTGAGTTTGGATGCAGTTTACGAGGATGGGGACAAGTTTGGTCAGTGTTTGTCCTGTTGCAAGTTCCACTCTTCTAATTCATGTCAATTTCGTAATTCTAAGTGCTTCAAATGTCGTGATATTGGACAAGTTCAGTCAGTTTTTAATGCTAATGTTCACCTTACTGCAACTAATATTAAGTCTTGTAATTCTGATTCTACTGAGTCGAGTATTCATGATGATCATTTAACTTTATCAACGATTTCAAAAGACAGTGTAGAGTCATATGGCAGTTCAGAGTTAAATGAAATCCAGAATTCTTGTGAGACAACAGCTCCTAATCAACCGATTTATCAGAATTCTCATGCTATTGTACCAGGTATGACTTTTCCTGATAATTCACATATTTCTAATGAAATTACTTGCAATTCTGAGGAAAATATGTTAAATGAACCTAATCATGATCGAAAACCTGATGTGGTTTGGATAGATGCTGATTTTTCTAAAGATCCTACGCTCTGCAATGACAGTCCTAATGAATTTCATGAGAATATTTCAGAAGAATCAAATCCTGATGTCATATCATATATTACCTATCCTCATAATGCATTTGATCCTTGTGAAAAACCTGCTCAATGCGAAGCACGAGTACTAAGCGACCTCGAGTTTGATTACATTTCGGATGATTTCATATCAACTGCTGTTTACCCTTATCACAAAAACAGTTCTAATGTCTACTCTAAACAGTGTGAGAAATATGTTTTAAATGAAGCCACATTATTCATAACTTGGGGATATAAAGATCCAACATTATTTCGTGGGGGAGGATAGTGTTGAAAAATCTATGGTTTGAATTCGAGATATTAATGATTTCATTACAAAACCGACATGATGGTTGTATACAATTCCAGGTGAGTCTGTTCCGATTTCGTTTGTTAATTCCAGTACTAATGAGCACTTTCTAGATACTACAAAGTTTTTATCTTATACAATGTCGGACAGACTCAGGATGAACTTAACAAGAAGACGTACAACCGATCACAAACACTTATACTTCTATTTGAGCTGTGGCGGATGTGGTGTTTGAACGAACTAATAATACCTTTGTACTTGTTGAATGCTCGATTTTGAATTCCAAATACAATACATTCGCTTGTGCTTGAGTCTTACTTCTTAATTCAATTGCGTTAATTCTGGGACTCTTAGTTCGTGCTATAATGCAAATAATTCAAAACATTATACATGCTCTTTGAATAACATCTCTACCACTATGATATTTGAATCGACGATTGTATCTCTGTGTTAATGTAATACGGCAACTTGAACTGATCTACTTACGTACAAAGTTCCATGTTGATACTGATTGACCATGTCTATTAAATGATGGAATTGTTTTGTATTGATTCATCGATCTTTTTAATTCCATCCAGATTACAATTAGCTAACAACAATTCCAAGTAACACTACTAAACGTTTTTTACATGGTTTCTGGCGTTCATTATTACAACATATTTTCCACAATCGGATGGTTGATCCTTCTTCAATAAATGATGTTGCTAATGAGTTATGGTAACTATATTTGACTTTTGTATTCAGCACACTTGAAGTTATATCTCTTCTCTTTAATTTTTGAAATATAATTATAAGCAATGAAGCTTGTGATTATCTGGAAAACAAACGTAGTATTTATAGAGAATTTAATTCTTGAATCCATAAGTCAATTGAAGTTGGATTGCTATGGAAAACCAGGAAGAACTGGACGGTCATTTCGTCCTAGTATGGGACTCCTGAGAAGTATTCATCCACGATCTTGCTCAATGGTATTCAAACTCAGAACTTATCAGTCTCACGTACAAACGCTTAACCTCTATAATAAATATTACTTACCTTAAATTCATTCTGTGGTGTTGATTGTAAACGATTTAATTCTTGTTGATAATGAACTTCTAATTGTCTTAATATTGTATTGAATTCAACTAGTTGTGAACGACTTTCAATTAAAGATCTTTCTAGATCATTTGCTCGTTTTGTTTCATCATCAAGCTAATAATGATAAGAGTAAAAATCATGAAGCATTTGTTATATTTATAAGGAGAAAATAGTTTAAAGCCTCTAGAAGAACAAACAGTAGTTGTAATGTAAGCAAAACATCTTCAAGTATATGAGTATGAGAAAAACTTTTCGGTTCCCGAAATGGATTCCTTTATTCAAAGAATCTCTCAAGTTTTCAATGATATTTTAATCATTGCTTCCAATCTAACTCATGATCATGATAATTTATGTTTAAACATTATTTTATCTATGAGTTAATGATAATCTTTACATGTTGTAAAATCACCATTGAAGAAAGCATCCAATTGTGTCACAGGACAAGCCATCACTTGGAATCCTGAAGGTCAAAGGAAAAGAGGAAGACCAAAGAACACATGCTGTCGAGAAATGGAGACAGACATGAAAAGAATGAACAACAATTGGATAGAACTAGAAAGGAAGGTTCAGGATAGAGTTGGTTGAAGAATGCTGTTCAGCAGCTTTTACTTCATCGGGAGTAACAGACGTAAGTAAGTAAAATCATCATTGAACTGTTGCTTTTGTTTCTCTTCTCATGTTCCTCTTCTATCAGTGAAAATCTTACTTCCAATCTTTAATATATACTATTTATATCTGTCCGTATAAGTAACACACACCAAAATAGGGGTTTATGGGATCGTTTAAAGTGTACAATACATTGAGTACGAGATATCATTGAGTTGACAAACCGGAAAAATTGCTCAAACTTTGATTTAAACAACTTTTTACATGATCGAAAGAAAGTGATTACGTAACTTTTTTAACGAAAAACGGTAAATGTAAATTACTACAGATATTAAGCTATAAGAAGTAAGTAATTGAGTTTAATCTGAAAAGAATAACTTATATTCTGAAAGATTATAAAACGATAGAAAGCCAGATCATTTCAGTTGTAGTAAACGTTCGTGGACGAGACTGAAGGCCCTGGGTTCGAATCTGGCGAGCGGGATAGTGGATGCGCAATGCTAAGCAGCCCCACAATAGGACGAACCGGCCTTCTTGTGCTTTCAGGTTTTCAATGGTGGTCTTACATCAATCGGTTCAAGATTTCAATTAATGATTTATTAATTTCCACAACCCTGTACTGATAATTTCGGTTGTGTTGATTTCTTTGAACTAAATAGTTTGATTAGAAAACTAATGTTGTTCCTCTGAACATCATCAATTTAATACATCACAACTAAACCATCCAGCTCAATGAATAGCACGTTAAAAAGCCTTAGAGTATCTATGAGATTATTTTCGGATATCATTTTGAATAATCAGTGCGATGTCTTGTCACACAGCACCCAGGAGTTTTTCATGGTTGGTCTTGAATGATATCTGTGCTTGGGACAGATTTTAGTTTTCAGATGAAACAATTAGGCTCCAATTTCTAAAAAAATCATGAGGATGAACAAATCGAATCGTTTCAAAGGCTTATTCTGGTTTATTAGTTATAAGATCACTTGGTAGTAATTCGTAACCATTGTTATATCATGAGCTATCTAACATTAGGAGCTTACTATCTGGTCTTTAGTGGTTATTAATCTAGATATCTCACTCATACAATAAGCTATTCAAAACCAAAACAAAATTTTTAGTATATTCTGTGACTAGAGAACCTGCATAACTTCTTCAATGAACATCATTTAATTGAAGATTTGCTTTTCTAGCAATTGAAAGTTTGAGCAACGGCTTCTTGTAAATTTCCTTTAAACAGTCAACATTACCCAGGACAGGGTTGGATGGAGAATGCTGGTGAGCGGCCTATGCTCCTTCACTAGGAGTAACAGGCGTAATTAACATTAAGATTACACTAATTGCAATCTTTCACAATAGACTTTATAAGTGTCATTACCAAGATTTAACTTGATAATTTCAAATAAATAAATCGAGAATAGTACATTTTTTAACTGTCTGATTCCAGCTGAAGCTGTACTGTTTTATCTGTTGACTATCTGAATGCTACTGGTTACAGTAATATTCAGGGGAAAAAAACATTAAACTAAACCAAATGATGCAATGGCAAAAGAAGACAAACTAAATATCATCTACGAAATAAATTGTGCCAACTGCGAATAAAAACACTACATCGGACAAAGCGGACTCCCTGTTCATCTTCGCCTGCATGAACATCAATAAGCAGTCAAACACCATGGCATATCTTCACTTATGTCAATGTATGTGGACATCTGCGGACACACATACGACTGGAAATATGTAGAAATCTTAGATAGAGGCAATTCCAAAAACACTAGGAAAGTTTTACAAGCTTGGCACTTAGGTCAATCAGCAATCAACAAGCACATTGAAATTGACCCAATTTATCGACCAATGAGGAAAATTATGCACAAAAATATAGAAACAAAAATCAAATTAATGAGAGATACAACCAAAACAAGGAAGTAAACAATGACAAGTTCAAGCTCAACAAGAATCAATCAACACCGAAGTGTACATGACAAGCTGTGAACTATATGTGGTGAATTTTATGCTGCTGATATTGTGGCGAGACTCTAATTTAAGGACGACCTTTGAACGAATCTTAAGTGACCTTGACAATTATTAGCCAATCAGAAGAAAGTTGGTATAAAGTGAAAATATATTATATGGAAGTAATGAATTACAGTGGAGATTCTTTTTTTACATGATTTAAAAACTTGTTAAGGTTTGATTAAGGTTCAGAGGTTCTGAATTCACAATGCATATGGAATAGAAACTCGTTAGGGTTAGGGTTAGTTGAGGGTTAAGGTTTAGGGTTAGGTGAGGGTTAAGGTTAGGGTTTAGGGTTAGTTGAGGGTTAAGGTTTAGGTTTGGGTTAGGGTTTAGGGTTAGGGTTAGATGAGGGTTTAGGGTTAAGGTTAGGCTTTAGGGTTAGAGTTAGGTGAGGGTTAAGGTTAGGGTTAGGATGCTAACATACGAGTTTTTAAATCATGTCATAGAAGAATATCCATTGTAATTTATTACTTTCTTTTTATATATTTTCACTTTATGCTGTCTTCTGATTGACTAATAATTGAAATTGCTCAAACGCTTCTGATTGACTCGTCCCTAAATTAGAGTCTCGCCGTCCTATCTGTTGTAACCTCTTATTAATCACCTACTCTCTAAAATCCGCTGTGAACCGATCGTATGTTAGCAGCGCGTGTTGAACTTGGCTCTGTGACCTTGAAATTGCTCAAACGCTTCTGATTGGCTCGTCCCTAAATTAGAGTCTCGCCGATATTGTCATTCAAAAGAACAATGAAAGCTCCACAATCAGACTATCCAGCTCAGAGAACAAAAATTCCATCAAAAACATCAACTTATTCTCTAGTATAGTCAGAACTTTCAACTTACTTTAGCTCTAAGAATATCTAATTGTATTTCCATAGCAGTTATATTTGATTTTTGATTACATAATTGATATTGTAATTCTTTTATTTGTTCATCTTTTTGATAAACTTCACGTAATGCTAATTCACGTTCACCTCGAAGTGTCATACATTGACGTGTTAATTCATCTTTTTCTTTATCACGATATACTAATTCAAGAAGTTTAGTAATTTAAGTCAAATGAAAAGAAGAACACACAACATTGATTAACTAATAATTATACACTATATTCAATTGAATGCCACGTTAACTACCCACTATTGTAACTTCATTTTGACCTTCCGTTTTGTTCTTCGCTCTTATTCTATTTTTTTTTATAATATAGACCAATAAAATAGTGTAGATTTCAAATAAGTAGTAATTTTGATAATTTATATGAGTTAATTGAAGTTAGATCAACATGGAGAGCCTGGAAGTACTAGACAACTGTTTCATCCTACAGTAGAACTCCTCAGCAGTTTGCATCCACGATCCTCTACCGTGAGATTCGAATCCATGTCTCGCGCGCGAATGCTCAACCTCTAGATCACTGAGTCAGTTAGTATCCAATGATGTTAATCTCTAACTTCAACCAATCCATAAGTTTGTGCCACACGTTTATATTATTATTTTCATGCTAACTTATCTGTTTTGTTACCTGTTGAAACATTGTTAGAAATGTGTAATCACTGAATGTAAACTGAGTGTCCTAAAGGTTTTAACTCATTACAAGAGCCCTCAATATATTAGGTTTGTTTCTTGCAGGTTTGAAGGTATGGATTGCTAATTGTTGAAACAACTGAGGAGTTCCATACGACCACGAAACAGCCATCTAGTGCTTCCAGGTTTTCCATGGTGGTCTAGCTTCAGTCGACTCACGAATTCAACTATTAAAATTACAATAATATCTGCGAAACCCCTTCTGATATCAATCGGCTTATGCTCACTAAAGACTGGCTTCAAGAGGTATTTCCTGGAGTTCTAGTGAGAAGCAGTGACCAGTGAATTTCAACCACATCTGTTGTGAGATAGTAACTCACTGAATACAGTGGTGTATGTATCGCTCGATTTTGTGGATTAGTTGAAGTTAGACAATAACCCCGTTGGATACCGGCCAGCTCAATGGTCTAGAGGTTAAGTGTTCTCGCACGAGACCCGTAGGTCTTAGGTTCAAATCTGGAGAGGCGGGATCTTGGATGCGCATTGCTTCATGAGTCCCACAATAGGATGAAATAGTCATCCACTGCTTCCAAGTTTTCGATGGTGGTCTAGTTTCAATTGACTCATGAATTCAAACATATAATTTATATTACTTTATACAAATCAATCAATCAATGAAATTAGTCCATCTTATAATAAACATGTAAAATCTTTAAAGTTCAATCTAACTATAAGCACATGATTAAACACTTTTATCATGTTGCTATAGTTACCAAAATGTACGGTGTTGATAATAATTTGTTCATTCAAGTAAGATATTACTATAGTTACATTTGTCATTAAAATAAGATTCATTATCATATTCATATTATAATACATTTTTCGAAAAAACAAAACAAAAACAATTATAGTACTAATTCTCAATGCTGTATAACATTAAGTTAACCTAATACTTAATTTACACTTATGTTATTTTAAGCTATGAACTTGCCTCCATTTCTCAATATACATTATGATCACATGTCTTTGTTATTCAATACGAAAAACCTCTCTATTGTATGCTTCCACACTTATTTTAACATATTCACATCCTAAAGGTCGAGTTTCTTGGCTGAGAATGTTTTTGTAATTGAAACAAACGAACAAAAGATAACCTCCTCAATGTTTACCACATTATGAATACCCAAGGTTATCCTATCAAGATAGTACATATTACGGTCGTATAAAGTCAGTTAACGTTTACATTAACATATTGCTGAGTATTCAAATATGATTACATATCCTTTTATTTATATAAAAGGGGAATACAAGTTGTTGGAGTATGTCATATCATTTTAAGTGGTTTCACCTGCGGCGTCAGCTTAAACTAAGACGTCTTACTAAAGAGTGGGTTATCGCAGCTTTAATCTAGTATAATGATCTTACAGCTTTTTGTAGCCAAGTATCTGACTTCAGTTCGACCTTACAAATATGCTATGTGCATAAATTTTCCGTTTAACTCCGTAAATGAACTGAGAAAAACGAATCAAAGCAAACAAGGTAAGTGAACCAACTCGTTTTGACAAAGCGTGATTCGATATTTATAGTCAGATAAAAATAAGTTACAGAAATGTGATGGGTAGAATAAGCGATGAGCACATATGTACTCATCTAAAAACAGTTATAAAGTGAATAATAATCAAAGTCAAAATGTCACTTGAAGGGAAGCTAGAACAACCCATGAGCGCTTGATATGGTACCACACAGTATGAGCTGTTTCTTTCTGGTCTGAGATACCTTGGCATTGTGCACTCAATATTGCACTCAGTATAGAGTTCAGAAGGCAAGACTATCCTAACCAGCATGATATCTCTAGATTATTAGGACAAAATCTATATTTCCATGACTGGATAATTCCTAATGCAAACGAATTTCATATTTCACAGTTCCAATAAAAACAACTTTTCACTTAGTAGCGATATGAACAATGGAAACTAACTTCGACATTCATTTCCGAATTCGTATTAAGAAGCGATGATTTGTGGAGTTCAGCCATGTTGGAGATTAAGAGGATACAAACAATTAATGAGTACGATACCTGTTTTTTAACGCGACAATAGATAAAAGTTCTCGCCTTTCAATGTGTTTACGGCTTACATCCGTCTGTAAAGAAACCCTCTTTAATACCGTACTGATATATATAATAACGCGGTTTAAAAAAGTGATATCTCTTTATATATGACGCCAAAGTATTTAAGGTAAACGTTTTGTTCACAGAATTATAGGAATCTGTAAACGTTTTATCGTGGTAGTATTACAAATACAACGTGGGTCGGATTGTTAATCAATGATTAGTTCTAGGTCATTGGTAAGAAAAAACTAAAACTATGAAGTGATAGGAGATAAAATGCTCATAATACAAACTTGATATTTGCTAGTCAATGATATATTGAAATTATATGATAAAACGTCAGCACTTATCAGTTGTAGGAAATGAAACAGAATAACTTGGCAACTCACATAAGGTTTCCCGTAAACTCCCTTCACAACGATTTAATTTCTGTTGTAATATGCTTATGTGAGCTTCTTTACGATGAATTTCAAGTTTCAAACCGTCAGTTCTTTCTTGCATTTCCTAAGTTACAATAAAATAAATTACATCAAAACATCCAGAAACCAAAATTTAGATCGCATTATTTTAATGTCCGATAAATTAGCTAGTTCATAAAATACTGTGATACTGATAGTTGTCTTGTTTGCAAATTACTTTCCTACTATCTCGTCGTCAAAAGTTTTTCTATATGTCTACGATATCAAAATAAAAATAGCGATGAAAAATTCGATAGTTTATCTCTTAAAAATGACCTACATAAATTATCTAAATTGCCCAGAAGTTATCAGCTGCTAATTAACGCTCTCAAAGGCATAATGATGCATAATGATCACCTTTATAAAGATGTATGTACGCTAAGTAGTCTTGAACTGCTCGTTGTTCAGATCCTGAAGTCACTGTTAGCCAAGACTTGAAACCCACTTCACACTGCGATACAATAACTGTTCACGTTTTAGAAACCTCTAATCAATAAGAAGAGCCTTTAGTCGTGAAGATGCTAAGATGTTTTAAACTTTGTATATGGTGTTAATTCATCCTTAACACGAATATTATACAGAAACAGTCAGCTCCTGACCAGAAAAGGTCAGTGAGCTGTTAAAGCGAACCAAAGAATGGTAACTGAGTTGATCACAGGAGCTGCAAACCTACTTTATGACAAAATATTGGCTAAACTAAAATTAGTTCTCTCGTTATATAGAAAAAATAGATCTGACTTGATGAAGGTTTTCAAATTATTTAGTATTAATTTTATATCTGGCGTGCCCTTACTTTTGTGGTCTTTCAAACCAGAGAACTTATGAGGACACTCTGAAACATTTTGCAATTCCAAGACCATTTGGTTTTCAACTGACTACTGACTTTTCCACCTGATCTCTAATACGTATAGCTCCTCATTGCAACACGTGGTTAAACCTACACTCGGGAACTCATTTAAAAGTACGTTGGATCATCCGACGGACAGCCATCGCCAGGGCTGACAGAGGCTAATCACCGTTCTATCCTCCCAAAACTAAAACTTGAAAGTTTTTCTTTAAAGCTGTACTTTATTTAACTTAGCAGAATTATACTCCAGTTTCTGAAATGATTATCAAACATATTCACTCATTTCACTTAAACATTAAATTATAGTGAAGTTTTCTCCATCATCTTATAGATATTACCATACAGGAACTATTCTTAAATCTAAAACATTATTTAAAATAAAATGTAAGTTCCGATTACTTTGTTGTTTGACAATAAACGAAAATAACGTTCGAAATTGTTTGCATATTGTGAAATCGTGGCACACATTAACCACAATCTAAAAATCTGTAATTACTTTAGATTAGCCAGTCTTGTTGGTCACATCTTAGAAACTTTTGGATCAGGGGAATGAGAAAAGGTTTCAGTTTGACTGTATCCATGACTTATGGGTGAGTCCTAAGAAATGTATTAGTTGTAGACGAGTTAAAGGGTAATAGCGTTTGGTTAAATCAGATGCTTTCATCTTCGGAAAGCACTGGGAGATACATTAGGATAACCTAATCACTACTATCTTCAATTCAAAACTTATAATAAGTGCACGATCTGTTGTCATTAATGCGAAACAAAAGGTTGAGCAATCATTGTGATTAAAAGTGAGTTATTCAGACAAAGCATATGACACCCAATAATCCACACACGCACTTTGAGCTTTTTCAAGGAATTAGATGCCTCGCAAACCATCAAAGGTTGTTTATCCATCACTTCGGCGGCTTGATGTCGAATATAGTTGTTCTCTAGCTCCAAAAGATAAATCTGTTGTTGCAGACTTTTAATATATTCATTTTCTAAGTTCCTCATAGTTCGGTAATTTGTTTCTAGATCTCTTTGAAGCTGCGACAAGAAGGCATAACTACTTACGCTGAGGTGTCAAGTGAAAACCCTGTTACCGCTTTTCCGTATTTTTCGGTTGCATGTTTTCTTACTATAATCAAAACCAATTAAAATTTATCACCACTCACGCGATCGATAAGGAGAAAAACTTTTCGAACGCATAGGCGTTCGAATAGAACTTGAGGCGCCATTTCGCATCATTGAAAAAATTCAACTACGATTTTTTTTTAAGTTACTTGTAATCGCTTAGAAACATTGGGTTCGTTTATTCAAAATAGTGCTACAAATCGTCATGGCATTACGTAGACCAATCCGTCAACGATGACCTTGAAAGCCGATTCAGCTTTCAGCCTTCAATAATAAGGATAGTAGATAGATGGTACAAGTTCAATCCTCACTGTTTCTTTTTCATCAAAGGTTCAGCCTCTCCTTTAAGACGTTCACCGATGGGAAGAACGCTACTTTATGTGAGTAGGGCGTTCTAGTCATTAACCACTCGATGATAAAGCGGAACCCAACTCTAAGTTTGATGGATTGATGTTTATGAACCTTCTTGGGCGAGACTAAAATTTATGGACGAACCATTCACGTATAAGATAGCAGGTCTTGAATATTGGCGCGAAATTCATCCATCCATTTCGGTAAACATAGTTTTGACGTTATAGCTGATGTCAGTTTGTGATGAAAACCAGAAATCTAGTTCCTGACCTTAGTCATCAACTGTAAATTGTAATTCCAATTCCTTACACATATTTATAACCCTCATTTGACCCCAGTTATTAAGTGGACATCCTCAATGTCAGTCTAGCGTCGCTCAAAGGTTGTCCATAAATTATAATCTCACCCCTTCTTGCCGTATCCTCGAGGATTAATAATGCTGGAGGTAGCGAAGGGATAAGACGTATTACCAAGTAAATCGTAAATAATGATACAGAGCGCTAAAATAATGTCACCTCGCATTATATGATACGATGAGAGGAAAAGGTTGAGAAGATTTAAGTGCTAATCGTGAGGAAGTTTGGAATGACCCTTCACTAATTTTGTTCCCGGAAGATGAACACGCAGAAGTGCGTTAGTATCCTTAATAAGAGATAGATCAGCTGGTGGGATGCAGTACATAGGTGGCATATAAATATTGAAACGTGTCCACGTCAAACCATAACACATGCGAACATTTGGCAGCTGCTGCGTTGCAGCACGCAGCTGTTTTTTAGTCATGACTTAAAATTACCCCTAATTCTATCAAACAGATGTGGCTTTACAACTTGACTCAATGTAAAAGCCCACCAAATATTCAACATTTGATCAATTATCGTATTTTACTCAGTGGAAGCGCTTCTCAAAGTATTAGTGACATTATTGAACGGAATGCGCACAGTTTAAGGGGAAACATTTTAGTCTTACAAGGCCGATATTTCAGGGTAGTTAGACATCCTCCACAAGTTGAAAGTATTTTGAAAAAGACTCACATGTGAGTTTTACGCGTGATCGAGGCTACATAAGGACATCGGTGGATTAGCTACCTCAGTATTCTGTAATGATTATAGGTAGTCAGTTGATTTGTACTCATCTTCGCAGTTTCTAGTAATGTGAATACTCAATCTTCCTTTGAATAAATCAGAAGGCGATGCTGATGTTTTGATAGAGAATTTAGACAACTAACTACTCGATGAGAAAAAACTTATTTGCAGTTATAAGAAATTTAATCCCAGCTTCTGAACTTTCTTAGAATGTCCTCTCAGATGATCAGTTCAAGATAGAGGGAGAAGTTAAGAAATATTTATACCAACGTCATCTTTACAGTAAGTCAGTATCAAAACATTCCATAATTAGCAGTGACATCAGGCGTGGTATAGATTCGGATGTAAATGAGATCCTGTAAATATAGGCTATACTTCTTCATTTGGCCAGTCCCTTGCAGCGGTTCACTCATTTATGGCTGTTACGTTTGCTCTCAACACATTTCGGTGAAGTCGATACTGATCAAGTGCCTAACGTGAACCACAAAGCAGCATCTCTCATACTTGTACTACAATATTTCTGGAGTGACATTAGAGTCAAAAATTAAACAAATTTCAGTCACATATCTGATATATGAATTAAATTCATCAATCGGCATTTGCTTGCAAGATCTGACCGCCTGAAAATCCATGAAACGAGAGTCTTTTCCACTGTTTTGTTGACAAGTTCCTAGTCCACCTAGAGTCGCATCTAATTTTGCTCATAACACTAGAGGAATATAAAGCCTCAATTGAATGTTAATGTTATCTCGACTTCGACTACTAGCTAACGAAAGGTTCCTTATGCCTTCCACACTACGACCGCCCCAAGAAGTTCACACGGTACGGCTTAACATTTTCATCAGTAACTTTGTCTATTCTTATCACATTTTCTATCTGAACACGTGTACAATTGTTTAGTAAAACGCTAAAACATGCATCCAGACCCTTTCCAAATCATGTGTGCATTTAATTTTCTACTCGGTGTTCTTAGGTTTTGTCATATTACTCAAAAGGTTTGAAAACGTGAAGCTTTCCTTGTTTACTCTGCGGTTAAATCTATCCGGTCTTTGGAATTATAGAGGAGTAAACTGTGATTGAAAAACGGACCCTAGAAAAGACTGGTTTAGCCAATCATGCGTTCTCGACAAGACCTTTTTCTTCCTAGTTTCTGCACCTCTGTTCTCTTCTCTTCACTCGAACCAGCCACATCAGGCCTATTTGGAAAGCTGATTGTTTCATATAGGCCTTCAGATGCGGAATAAGAGTCGAAATCAGTGACGTCTAGTGATACAACCATCTTTATTCGTTTTAGAATAGATTCTCCTTTTTCATGTTTTCCAGTCGAGTGTTTGGTAGCCCCTGAAACAGATCTTCCATCACTCTCACTTTCCTCATTGTAAGTACTCAAATTCCTGGTATAGCTTTCACCAACTCTTCAACTAGATAACAACAGAAGTCTCTTCACCTTGACAGTCAGTGGTATTTTATTCGGGCAGCAAAATATATTGAGCCGATGAAAGCAAGGCTAAGATTGTATCTTACAAGTGGTTTGTATCAGACTATCTGGTAACAAAATGGTGTGAAGTAAAGGACGCCACAGATAGTTGACGTTCGATGACACCTATAATCATATTTTGGGATCGTAAAAAGAAATGGAAAAGAGGAAGACAGAAGAACACAATGCGTCAAGAATTCGAAGCAGACAGGAAACGGATAAATAGCAAGCGGAAATATCTTGAAAGTATTGCACAGATCAGCGTTCGACTGGGGATCCTTATCTGCGGCCTATACTGCTTTACGAGGAGTAACTGACATAAGTAAGTACGTAACAATTAGATGTGAATTCAACAGTATTGTTCTAATATGGAAAGCAAAAGCAGTCATTGATTAGATGTATTATGTTGTCAAACTACTTGTGAGTTGAAAGACTAAGCCTACAATTTCAAATAGACCTACACAATGTATGAAGGATAACGTCACATCTCATTACATTTATCAATTCACATGTTTGTGTGAACACTCATACATAGAAAGGATTAGTCAACCAATCTAATTAAGGGTTATGAAACATGTACGTAGATGGGTTCAGTATCGGCGAATGTCAAATGTTCCGATAAACGTTGAAAGTAGAAAACCATGTTCATCGATAGCAAAGTACATAACTGAAATGGGTCACAGAATTGACATCAGTAGAGCTTTTAAAACTTGGTATAGAAATTGTCAAGGACTAATTCTCAGGTTTATTGAATCCCAGTCCATTCATAAATTAAAACCCCATGATAATCCGCATATCACCTTATGGCCTAGGATAATGAAACAATATCCTGTTCTTTCTAAACGATGTTAGTTTTTTCTCTCTATAATTTACACTTTCTACTTTGTTTACTTGAACCTTCATTTCATTGACCTTTGTTAGTTTCCATATAAAATACTTTGACAGATATATGTGTGAGCAGATTGTAAGAAATGTATATTGCAAATAAATCACAATTTTAAGATCAACTCCATTTTTTCATTGTTCTATCGAAATATGTAAAATAAACTAATTGCCTGAAACTTCTAAAAAGATAACAGATTTGCCAAAGTTAGTATTTAAGAGTCACAATTGCACCGCATTATTATGAATTAGATTATTTAGTAGATTCTTTTTAGAGACTCATAATCTATTATTATTATTGACTTTATTCATTGTTATATTTTTGGTAAAATATGGAATTCTCAGCACAAATAATATCAACAGGTTTCTTCTCCCTATTTCTTGCTCGATTCTTGCGAGAAATATTGAGTGGTTGCCAGTTACATGTTAGCAGTTCAAGACTTGACATTTGAATAATTATATCTCTGATTGGGCTCTTTTGGAATTTGTACAGCGAAATGTAGTAAATTTTTTTACATACGCACCTGAATAGCTTATGAGACTAATAGACATAATGATGTGTTAGAACAAACAAGCAAAAGATAACTTGTTGGAATATTCAGATAGCAGGAACAGGTAGCCCAGATATTTAAACGAGTCACGATAGTATTAATCTCTATGGTCACTTTTTGAAATTTTAACGATTAGTTTAATTTTATAGAAATTGAGTGCCTGAGTACATAGAAGTTATCAGATGTGAACAAAATATGTTTGAATCATTTAAACGATTGAAATCTAAATGATTCCAACGTTTCAATCATTAAATAAAAGACTAGCATATATTCTTTATATCAGAGAAATCTTAACTAATGTTAGGTTTAGTTCAAAGTTATGGATTAATAGAAGACAACAATTTTTAACGCATTAAAAAATTTCCCGGATAGTTGTCCATTTCTCTATGTTTGAAAACTTTAATCGTAATAGTTTCCGTTCAATTAGCTACAAAAGATAGCATTCGATCTGCACTAATAAGGACTTGACACACATGACTTTGGTCACTACCCAGTGACCAATCAATTGTGATTACGTATCAGTCCTACAGGAGGTTGGTCGCTGCCCGGATAGCTCAGTAGTAACGTCAATGACTGTGAACCTGGGTGATGTGTGATCGAATCCGTCAGGGGGCACCAGCTCCCTCAAGATTATAGGTACACCTTGCTGATGAGTGCCAAGTAGCACGAAACCCGGGTCCAAGGTTTCCTGTTGACTACCTCCAATCACTATCTAATCTTAAAAAAGAGATTTAGTCAGTGAGCTGTTCAATTATGTTATATGCTTGTGGCTAATTTTTTTAGCGGGTTAGTTTTCAATGAGATGGGATCTCCAACCCCGTACCCAACCTTCCTCGTTTATCCAGGGTTGGGACCAGCAGTAGCCCCAGAGGAA